TTTGTAGGAATTCATAGAACTGGGGATTACGTCTTTATTCACTGTACTAGATAGTTTTGTGTGTTAACAAGCTAGAGTCATCAGAGAGGAAGGAGCTTCAGTTGAGGAAATGCCTCAGTGAGATCCAGCTGTAAGGGATTTTCTCAATAGTGATCAATGGGAGACAGCCTAGCCTATTGTGGGGGTTGTCACCCCTTGGCTGGTGGTTCTGGGTTCTGTAAGAAAGCAGGCTGAGCAAACCATGAGGAGCAAGCCAGTAAGCAGCACCCCTCCATGGCCTCTGCATCAGCTCCTGCCTCCAGGTTCATGCTCTGTTTGATTTCCTGTCCTGACTTTCTTCAATGATAAGCAATGTAGAAGTGTAAGCTGAATAAACTGGTTCCTTCCCAACTTGCTTTTTGGTCATAGTGTTTGGAAATACTACCTATCTTGATGGTAGGAGGTGCTGCTCCTACCATCCTGACTCAGCACTGGCCTGCGAAGCATTCCTCTAATTAAAGGCTTATCAGTACGTATCAGGCGGTTGTAGATTTGTACTTGAAAGCACAGGGATGCTCTGCTGGAATAATTCTGTCCTTTCCTAACCAAGATTTTTAATTCCTTCCAGGGCTCTAAGCAAAACGGGTGAGAGGGCAGAGAATGGAAAGGTTCCGCCAGAATGGCAATGAGGTGACCATGGCATCTGGCAGCGAGATGTGCTAGCTCTTGCAGGTCTTCTGATAGCCAAAGTGTTGGGCAGTTGTTCATGATGGGCAGCCTTATGGTAGTCTATTTGTAATTAACAGTAATTAATGGTAGCCTGGCCACCCTGAAGCTTGGATGGAGAGTCTGCTCTATTATCTACTTTAGGTAGCCAGAAAGAAAAACAATGGGACAGAAAGGGTTATATCTGATGAGTGATGAGAAGGAAAGTTGGAGGAGGGGACATGAGAAGGAATAGCTTACACTAAAGACCTTAGAAAACACCACATGGAAACTCATTACTTCAAAAGCCTTCTATAATATATACATATAGACGGATAAAGGATGTTTAAATGTCGTTGCTCTATGATGAGGGGCCAGTGCCTTTCCTAAGTGCCATAAACCACCAGGGGGAAAAAGCCCTCAGTGCTAGGAATGTGTTGTCTCTTTTTGAGTTGCTGGTCAGTGGCATCCCACTGTTTCAGACCACATCTGAAACATTAGAGGACACTGCTCTCTCTCTCGCTTATCCTCCCTATTGGCTAGCTTTCACAGTGATGGAAGGTTCTATTTACAGGACTGTGGGAGAGAAGTCATCCGTAATCTTACTCAGCTATCGACCCCGTGAGCTGCGATAACAGCTGGCTGGCTAGGGCCACTAGAAAAATGGTGACACAATATTATGTGAGCAACCAACTACTGTTTGTATTTAAGGCCCAGTCTACTAGATGGAACTCATGTCTGGTACTGTTCACAAGGCCCAAAGCTGTGACTGACTAGGCCATGGGTCCCATGGGAGAACGTACTGCAGTTACTGCACTAAATGGACATATTAGAAAACCTGTTCCTGGTGGCTTATCATTATCTCAACCCTCAGCAGAAAGAGCTACTTTTTTGCAATAGTTGTTGGTCTGTATGGAGACCCACAAGTGGCTAACATGAGAGAATGAGAGCCTATGGAGCATTTAGTTCTAAACAGAACACCCACAATACACCTCTCCTCACACGGCTCAAGGATTATCTCAGAAGAGGGCCCATGGAAAGATGATAAGAGCCAGAGGTCATCGACCTCTGTGGCTAAAAGCATCTGCCAGCCACAATGGGGCCATTGTACCCATGACACAGTGGCCGTGACCGCATGCACAGGTCTTGCACAAGAATAAGCCATCAGAAGTACCAGCACAGCTAGAGGGAGACCTCATGAGATCGCGCCTCACACTGAGAAGCTGTTGGCAACCTTTGGCTGCTGGGTGAAGAAAAATACATTTTCTTTAGCGATGTAGGGACATGGGGCCCTGAGAGGCTGCGTGCTCTAGCAGGTGTTTCTACAACCATACACACACAAGCAGTACTAAGGGCACTCAGTCATGTGAAAAAGAGGGAACAGCAGAGAGAGAGAGAGACTGGGAGGAAAGAGTGGTGAGTGGGGAGGTGGGGATGGGGGTTGATTTGATCAAAATACATATACATATATCAGTCTTTTCCTCTAAATCTTCCATTTTTTTTTGTATTCACAGATGCGAGTTTATACATAGTCCAATTTTATAGATAAATAATCGTGAATACCGTTCTCATTATTGATGAACCACAATGGCACAGATAAGAGAGTTATTGATTATGCCCCCCAATTCCAGTAACCAGAAAGAATGACATCTTCTTCTAGGTTTATATTTACAAATATGTAAAATACAGATCTAGAAAAATATGAAACACTAGTTTTGGTTATTGCTTATATTCATTTAATGTGATGTCATTCATACTATTTTGGAGCTTTGCTTTTAAAAAAAATTAATATAAGTGTCATCAACATGACAGCCTAAACAGGAGCTGAACAAGGGCAAGAACAGTAGACATGCTAACATGAACAGGTGTGGGGATGAGGGGAGGCCTCAACCGTACAGAAAGACAACCAAGGAATGCTGACAGTGGGAGCAGGAAGCTTCCCCGGGGAAGATTACCCTGACTGGTTAGCCAATTCTAAATGGGCAGCTCTGAAAACATGCATACAGACACATTAGAAAGACTGGGTAGGTTGTATTTAGGAATATGTATGTGTGTCCACATACATATATGTGTGAAAATTTAATGTCATGAATTTGAAAGAGAGCAAAGAGGGGCACATGGAAAGGTTTCAAGGGAGGAAAGGGAAGGGGAATTATTAATTAAATTATAATCTCAAACATAAAAGAAACAATTTTAAAAGTTAGCTTTACTAAGAAAAACTTAATGATTCATTACATGAAGTATGTAAAAATAATATAATAGCACAAACCAGGTGAGACTTTTTTTTAACAACTATTGACTGTAACTACAGAACAAACTAGTTGTCATAATATTTTAATAGGACTTTAGCTATCAAATGTCATAGGAATCTTGGGTCCTCACAGTCAACCAATAAACATAATAAGAAAATTAGATATTGAAATTGTACATGGTTTTTCTATTTTAATATTTTCTAAGACAGCACTTTCTTTTAGAATTTTAATTTATGCTGGGTGGTGGTTGCACATTCCTTTAATCCCAGCACTTGGGAGGCAGAGGCTGGTGGATCTTGTGAGTTCAGGGTCAACCTGGTCTGCACAGTGAGCTCCAGGGCAGCCAGGACCACGCAGAAAGACCCTGCCTCAAAAGAAGAGAAAAATGTTAATGAATTCTTTCGGATATTTTTCTCAGCTTAGTGTGGTTATCTTTCTAGTTTCATAGATGACTGTGTACTTTATCATCATTTTAATTGAAATGTATCAAGTACTGTGAAATATGTTTTTCATCACCTTAACTACACTTCAAGGATCTAATATGGAGTGCTTCCATTATTGTCGGTCTTTCCAAGTTCTACAAATCAGATCAGCTTGTCCAAAAAAATTGATTAAGGTTTTTCAGCTTTTAAGTAGTAGAACATTTTGCTTTATAGTTTGATATTCATTTCTGCTTATCCTCTGTTTTAAAAGCGTCACTATCTATTTCAAATGTCTTGATAAATGGCCAATTTTGGGAAATACTGCTTTCATGCGAAACAAGTTCTGTTGTTTGTTTTTGATATGACAATGTCCTGTTAACTCCATTGATTTTTCCTATGTTTTTTTTCTCTTATAGAGTGAAACACATGACATAAAATTGCCTCCTCATAGTGCTTTCCTGTTTGGTTTTTCTAGAAGTTTCTGCCTCATAAACATTGACGTTGAATTGGGGAGATGCCCACAAGTCCTTCATTTAAGCGCTAATTAGGAAATGTTCTTATCTCTTGTAATGCTTTAAGGAAGTGATTCATTTTTGAAAAAAAATCTTTTATTTTTGAGATTATAATTACATGTTTCATCCCTCCAAACCCTTCTAAATGCCCTCCCCTTGCTTTTTAAAATTCATGCTCTCTTTTTTCATTGATTGTTGTTACATACATACATACATGTATATAAATACACACACATATACATCTACATATGTATGTACACATATACATACATATTCCTAAGTACAAATTGCTGCGTCCATATGATATTGCTTATATGTTTGCTTTCAAGGCTGACCATTTGGTATTGGATAGCCGACTGGTGTTCTGTTCCTTCTTGCTCTCAACATTCCTTAGCTGTCTGTTGGCCTTTGTATAGGGTTGAGGCCTTGTGGCCATTCCCCTGTTGTGTATATTGTTGAAACTGTCCCTGTTCAAATCATGTTTAGATAGTCAGGAATTACTCATTTTTTAAAAGACTATGTTGCTCCTTCTATTTCATTGAAACTTGTCAGTTCATAATCATCAGCATGTCTGGATCGTGGCTTTGTTACATGGATGTGTGGGCTATTTCTGATTTAAGACAATGCTTTATGTTTAATCAGTGGGTGAATTTAGGTCATATTTTATTTAATAGTAAAACTGGTTTGGGGTCAGTAACATGACTCAGCAGGTAAAAATGCTTGCTCTTAAGCCTGATGATCTGAGTTTGACTCCTGGGACCCACGTGATGGAAGAGGAGGACTGACTCCCACCAGCCCTCTGACTTCCAAATGCATGCTGTGTCCCAGGAACAGTCCTCACACTAAACAAATAAGTTAGTAAGATGGAATAAAAATGAAACCACGGGTTTGATCTCACGGTGGTTTGAATGAGAAATGGTCCTCACAGGGCGTGTATTTAAACACTTGGCCCCAGCTGCTGGTACTTGGCAGGAAGGTTCTGGAGCCCTTAGGAGGTGGGGCCCTGATGAAGTTCAGTGTGAGGTTTTATGTCCTGGTTGCACTTCCTGTTTCCCTCTCTGCTTCTGTTGGTGGATCAGCCAGCTTCCTGTTCCCCTGCCACACATTTCCTGCCTACTGCCATATCTTCTCAGCCATGATGGGAGTATATTCTTTTGCAACTGTAAGGTAAAATGAGGCCTTTTCCCTGAGTGGCTTTTTATCAGCCTACTTTATCATGATAACTCAAGAGTAACTGGTTGAGGCCTTAATTTTGTCATGGACTTTATCTTAAAAGTCTACCATCACACAGTTAATTTCTTCTGTGGAAGTATGTTTTTCCCATATTAAGGAGGAAGGTTCAATTACATGTGGATACTTCAAGAAGTATAGTTTTTATAATACCCTTATGCTTTATTGAAGACAATTTCTTTTTAATTCTATACTACAAAGAATGGGTAGGTTTCTCATTTATATTCAAGTTTACCATATTGTTTTTCACAGTATTTATTATTATATTGACAATGCTCAGAATGACACCAGAAATGACAATATCTTTTACCATTAAGTTCTTTTGAGAAAAAAAATATTTTCAGTGAAACATTATATATATAATATTATATATTATATAATATAATATATAACTATATATTATATTACATGTATAATATAATATATACATATATAATAAATTATATTATATGTATATTATAATATAATATATATAATATATATATATATTTATATATATAATGGGTTAAAGGGTTAAAACCCTTACCTGGATTCAAATCAATCTGTTTCTGAAGTAAGTGGACTATTTGGGGCCATTTCTTTTCTGATTCCCAGGAGATTGGATTAACAATCTGATTTCAGGACTTTAGCATTAGTGGCTCCATCTTGTTTGAGTCTTTTGGGCTTGGTGCAGAGAGGTACTGCGCACAAAACAATGACTTCCCATCAATCTTAATGGATTGGCAATGTCCATATCAAGAGGAGGATGGGTAAAGCTTGTTGCATTAATACAAGAATACTACTCACTAAAAGTGGTTAAATTTTTTGCTACCAACGAGGATAAGGCTTGGTCCTTACATTGCCTTTGAGTCAGAAAAGTTTATGTAGTGTGATGTTATAAGGGGTACTACCGGAGCCACCAAGATGGCTCAGCTGGTTAAGGTTGCTGCTAAGCCTAGTAACCCAAGCTTGATTCCCTCAAGCACACACAGTAGAAAGAGAGGAGTGATTCCCCCATGTTGTCCTCTGAGCTCTACATATACATGTAGGCTGTGGGGGAACACACACACACACACACACGTACATGCGATGGAATGAATATAATAACTAAAGAAGCGAGTTACAACTGATTCTTTGGGATTAAAATCAGAACAGTGGTTAGTGCTCAGGGGACTGGCTGGAAAGGTCACAAAATGTGCAGAGATGAAGTATTTTGAGTCTTGCTCTGTGCACATACATCACTTTAAAAAAATAGATGAAAGAGAAGAGAAAAAAAATCTCAGCATGTGTCCGCGTTCTTGCGTCCACACTTGGCTCTCTGGCACAGGTCTGTGGTCCGCATCGGGGTCCTCTCGGCCTCCTGGGTTTGTTGCTTGGCACAGCCGAGGGTGATCCCTGGTCAGTCACCTCACACACCTGCGCACGGCTGCTTCCCGGGCCTCCGGAAGCGAAAGCTGTAAGAAGATGCCATCCAACCGTGTGGTGTCCCCGCCTGAAGAGCTGATCTGCTGTCGAGGCGGGGGACAGAGTGGCGCATCAAGAAGTCACTGCTGCATGCTCGGCTCACAATGAAGTGCTAAGGAATAATAATGGAGCCCTTATCCTGCGTGCGTGTTTTCCTTTCCATTAAATCTCAGATAGGCTGTTTGCTTTCGTCTCCTTAGTTCTGGCTGCTTTGAAACCCACAGGGGGAAAGAAACCCCTCATTACGTTCAGCGGCACAGCCCGCCATGGGGCAGTGCTCCTATTTGGTTTTCCTTCTGTAAATATTTGTGCTCTCTCAGGCTAAGGAGTGGCCTGTGCTAGAGACTAAAATATCCCCGTTTATATCCTCCAGGTGCGGCAGGAAACGGCTGACCCCTCACCCTGCCCCCGCAGTGACCTCAACCCCACTGCTGACGACCACCCTCCCGGCCGCCTAAGGCCGACCATGATCACCTCTCCTGGTTGGCCGCCAAGCAGGAGAGGATGGAGCGCAGAGTTGTTGCAACCCAGTTCTCCCATTCAGAGTGGGAAGGTCAGTTAACCTTTCGTTGCTGCCTTCAGGTTTGTTGATGAGAGGATGGGAAAAAAACAAACAAACAAACAAAAAAAAACATCGACAGCATAGATGTCCAGTTTGTCCAGAAACAGAGCTTGGTCTAGGGTAGAAAGGAGACCAAAGACAGAAGAGTCTAATATGTCCAAAAATAAACAGAAAATCGCCAGAGTCTTACAGAAATAGAATTTTCTTTTTCCTACTCGGTCCATTCATGTGGGTTTTCTTGGCATTCCCAAAGAGGCTCACGCTCTGAACACAGTAAGTCCTACGGTCTCTGCTCCGCCTCTCTGCTCACCCACTGTCAGGGAGGAGCCCTGCGGAGTCCCCTCAACAAACACTCATGGAATTGCACACTAACCTAGGCCTTTGGCTTGTCCCTTACTTTTTAATCTTTCAGCTTTACATCTTGATGGATGCACTCTGTCCTCCACCTTTCGCAGCTGAAGTGTGATGTACCAGGCTTGACTCTGTTGCCATCTGTATCAGTGGCCATATCTAGCTTCGGGGCTCCCAGTGAGGAGAAACGGGAATCTTGAAAAAAAAAAAAAAAAAAAAAAACATGCAAATCTTTTTTTGAATATATTACAAAATGTGATGTAAGCCTTTGCCTTTTAATGGAAGAGAAAACAATTGAAGTTAGATTATTTCAGTAGGTTTAATAATGAGCTTATAAACATTGAAACAAAAATACAAAAAGTAAAGAAATTAATGTGAGACCAGAATTTCTTCAAAATTAATTTAAACACACAGTAAAATTCATGCAAATTGGGCAAAAGCCACAGCTGCAAACAGAACTCTGAAAGTTCTAACCTGCCCTAAGCCACAAAGGCTCTGAGAGAAACATTGTGGACCAACCGTTTTTATCATTTTGCAATAAGGTTAAAAAGCAAGAGCAAAAGGACACTGAAATCCCTCAAAGGCAGACAAGTGAAGATACTTTCTGAAGTAGCTTGGAGAGGAGAAACAGTGCTTTCCTTACCCATGGGGGGCATACTCAGCCCCCCTTTCTCCCTGCCACTGCCCCAGCTACCCTGAAGCAGGAATGACTATTTCATTTGCATATGCAAACCAAGATCACCTTACCACCAAACTCCATAATTTCAAGGGATGATATGGGTGTGATGGCTAACCTTGGTTGTCAACTTGGCAGGACTAGGAAGGGTGAGCCTCAACTGAGCAATCGCCTTCACCAGGCTGGTTGGCGGGATGTTGCGTAGAGTGTTAGTTGATGGAGGAGGGATCAGCCCACTATGGTGGTATCACCCCTCAGGTGAACCTGGGCTGTGTAAGAGGTCAAGCTGAACAAGAGCCTAGGAGCCAGGTGGTAAGCAGCACGTCTCCTTGGCTTCTGCCTTAGTTCCTGCCTTGCATTCCTGCTCTGACTTCCCCCAGTAATGTACTATAGCTTGAAAATTGAAAGATGAAAGAAAACCTTTTCTATTTGGACAAAAAACAAGTACAAAAATATTCCTCAAGGCAGAGTGAGGCTCACTGCAAAATATTCCCTTTGGGTGTTAGAGAGCTTAATGCCCATCCGTTGTTTCTTTCTGTTTGAATTTCTTGTGGAGATTACCCAATGACCTCCAAGGAGGTGAGGATGCCTCTGAGTGAACAGGGAAATTCCATGTCAGCAAAGCAAGACAGCAGACCATGAGGAAATGTGTAAATACTAATGCTGTCTTACTTTCTCACTAAAACAAGAAAAATTAAAGTAACTTATTTAATAAGAGCAACAAAGGACTAGAAAAATAACAAACAACAACAATAATAAAAGAACTGGATAAATCAAAGGAGGAAGAATGGAATAATAAAAGTAGAAATTAATAAAACTAAAAATAAAAAGTGTAATTAGTAAGTCAATTAATACTACATCTTTGATGAGGATAATAGAAATGGATGTTAGGGTGACACTAACAAAAATATTAAAAAATAATTTTATAGAACAGGAAGAATACGAACAGATACTAAAATTTATTGAAACTAAAAATAGTACAGTATAACAGTTCATGGGAACATATTTCAGTGTTCATGAAGTATCCAGGTCTCTGAGGAAGTACAAATCAGCAAAGTGAAATTCAAGTTCACAACAATATAGGCTGGATATTCACAGGAAAAAAATAATAAAATATTGACATCTGTTTACAAAGTCCCCCAGCAAACTTTACCTCCTCTAAAGAGTATAAGCATGGTTTTTTCATCCATTCTTGTTTTAAATAAAATATTTAGCTAGAAAGGTGTGATTATTTGACATAAAAAGGTTGTCACTGATTGATTAAAGGACAGCGCACCCCCCGAAATTCAAAGCAAAGCTCTGGGCACCCAGAGGTAGTCTGCAAGCTCAGAAGACATGCATTAAAATTGAGGATTAAAAATAATATACATCAGCAACACAAACCAAGAAGGCACTAGCTGTGGATAGTGAGGGAATGAGGCCAAGCCAAGCTGGGGGACTTGTCACACATTTGCATCCTGGTTCTATAGGGGGTGACAATGGTGATACAGGTGCAAACAGAGTCGATGGGGAGTGTCACAAGCCCCAGGAAGATGAGAAGAAAGAGATCACCAGGACAGCATGGCTCATTCAGGAGACACATGAAAAGAATGACAGGCAGAAAACCCAGTGAGGTCCGAGGAAAGTCTGATGGCACGGGCCAAGCAAAGGGTTGTTTCCAAGGAAGAGCTAGTGACTGCTGAGTGTGCACAGGGATGTGGTTCTGGCAGGGCCCTGGCATGGAGCATCATGAGAACCACATCTAGGTACATCAGGTGGTGAATGGAGGCGAGACACTTCAGCCATTGACCTCAGACAGCCTTCCCAGAGATTTTCATGAGGAGGCGAAGAGAGAAATGAGTATGTGAGGCACGGTGCCACAGTTTCTCTCATCCGTGACTCCATGGGGAAGAGAGGGTCTGGATTTGGGGCCTTCTTGGCTGATTTTCCTCGGCGGCCTCTCTCTAATAAGCCACAGATGTGTCTCAATAGCTTTCTTATCAAGTTCACATGCCCTTCTGTAGTTTATTCAATCTGAGGATCCTGTTAGGAACTCTCTGACTTCGCAAACATTGCCAGCAGTGAGATCACCCTGTGGAGACTCCTCCAGCTTGGTAATGGTCCTGGCTATGTGAGTCTGTATTTTAGTGGTAAGCGTGTTCTTGTTTTCAAATTTTAGATCTTCGTGTATTTGTGTATATTTTCTTCTGGAGCAAATCTCCTAGAAGACAATTCCTTCTTTCCTTCTTTCTTTTTAAATTATGTGACTGTGTCTGCATCTGCCTGTGAGTTTGCACATTGTTAGGATAGGTACCCTAGGAAGGCAGAGACGGCATCTGATTCTCTGGAACTGCATTTCCAGGAGGTGGTGAGCCGCCTGATGTAGGTCCTCTGTGAGAGCAATGTTCTCTTAACTGCGGAACCAATTTTCCACTCTCCACTGATTTCTTTTATATCCACCTGACACATTTGGGGGTTGTTCCTAATACTCTAAATGCATGCATTTACTAATCATGGTTAAGAATCCAGATGCATTGTCTCTCTCTCACCCCAGAACTAGCAAGTCATAGTAGAAGAGATCTCACTGTGAGTCCAGAAGCTGTGACCTCAGGGTAGAAGCATGAGCAGAGACCTGTGGGAAAACACTCTTTTGCACTAGAAAATAATACCAGTTAACAAATGAAATTAAAAAGCATCTCTCTGTGCATCAAAGGAAATAATCAGCAGAGTGAAGGATCACCCGAGAATGAGAGAAATCTTTGCCAACTAAACATCTGACAGGGGATTGTATATATAATATATAAGGAAGTTCCAAAATTAAACTCCTTCAAAAACAGCCAACCAACCCAAAATGACTCAGTAAATGGGCAAACAAATTCTTCAGAAAGTACTTAAAAGAAGAAATACAGACTTCCAACAATTATTTGAAAACTCTTTAATATCCTTACCCATTAGGGAAATACAAATATGAACTGCAGTCAGTCAAAATTTCCCTTCATCAGGGAAAGTAGCCACACATGCAACCACAGCACTTGGGAAATGAAAAAAGGAAGGTCAGGAGTTCAAATCCAACCTTGGTTATTTAGCAAATCTGAGGCCAGTCAGAACCACAAGAGACCTGTTTTCAAATAGAAAGCAAAGCAAAAAGAATAAAGGTGAATGGAAAGAAGGAAGACATACCAGTAGACAGATAATGGTTAAAATGGAGAAACAGGGTTTAGACAATGATGGTGGGACGACAGGTTCGTTCTGTCACCATTGAAGTCAATGTGGAGGTTCCTCAAAAAACTAAAATAGAACTACAGTCTAGTCCAGCTATGCTACCTCTAAGCTCAAAAGAGTCTAAGTCAGCAGAGCATGGGGCAGGGGGCTGCACATCCAAGTTTATTGGTCTACACAATTGGCAAGAACTGGAACAAGCTGTTTGTTGTCCATCAAAAATTGAGTTGATAAAAAATTGTTTTATAGAGAAGTCCGGAATCCCTGGATGTCTCACACTTGACAGCGTAGGGTCCTCTAGGAAGAGGGAACCATAACTGAGAAAACGCCCCCATGAGATTGCTTATAGGTAGGACTTGAAGGCATTTTCTTGATTGAGGATTGATGTAGGAGGGCCCAGCCCACTGTGGGCGGTGCCATCCTTGGGCAAGTGGTCCTGGATTATCAAAGAAAGGTAGCTGAGAATGAGCCTGGTCAGCAGGTGAGTAAGACGTTCCTCTGTGGCACTGCTTCAAATCTTGCCCTTCAGGTTCCTGCTTCAACTTCCCTTCAAAATGGACTCTAACCTGCAAGGTGTAGTAAATGCTTTTCTCCCAAGTTGCTTTGGTCATGGTGTTTATCAGAGCAAGTGGAAGCAATCTAGAACAGAAACTAATGTCTGAGAATAAGCCATTGTTGTGAAGGGGCTGGGCATGGCTTTGGGGAGAGGACTGTGAAAGTGTTTGTGTTGGAAAAGTTATTGAGTGTTCAAAGATTAATGGGCTGCTCTGTACGAGACTGAAAAATAAGAATGTTGAAAGAGACGAAGGCAATCAAGGTTTGGCTTGTGAAGTTTCAGAGGAAAGTAAAAATTCCATCAGGGCCGTTCATGTGATATGTATTTGAATTAAAAATCTATGGTTTCTAGTCAGCAGGGGCTGAGGAATTGGCTGTGACAAACAAGAGACAAGAACCACTGAAATGCGCCCGTATGCTCACCAGGACACTATTGCTGGTTAAGTGGTCCTGAAGCACCAGTTGTGATGAATGGAAGATCAGCATCATTGGGGTAAAACCTTCTGGAAAGTGTTTCCTCAGGATCATCCCACAGAGCTGCAATTGGAGGCGGCCGAGGCTGCATTTCAAGCTGTTCACCGGACTGTGTGAGATGCTCCCATGTGGTTCTGGGTCAGTAGTCTAGAAGCAGAGAATGGGCACTGTCAGGGGCCGGGAGGGGTCACTGGCGAAGGTGCAGCCTCGGAAACCCCAGGATTTAAGGGGTCGCGGTGAGAGGCTATCATAGTTGTAGTTCATGCAGAGAGGCCAGGAGTCCATCAGGAAAGGTGTAGCCCCAGCAATGGAGACTGTGCCATATGGGACACAGGTACGACCACCAGGTAGAGAATCAGGCACATGACAGAGCTGTGTTGAGCCCTGGAAAAGTTGTGTTTGCTAAGGATGGCGGAGCCAGAGAGGTGAAGCTGCCCAGGCCCTTAGGAACCCAGAGCAACATGAGTAAAGTCCAGATTCAGGGCACTGAGCTACAAGATGTCGCTTATACTGCCGAACGTGTTTTGTTTGGCTCTGGTTGTAATTGTGTCCTGATCCTTTCCTTTTGGAATAAGAAGCATATAACTTATTTTTTATTTAACTTTCTTTTACAGGTGCCCACATTTGGGAGACTTGGGGTATTTCAAACCGTTTGAAATTTTAAAGAATATGGGACTTTCAGACGTTAGAATGTGTTTGGTAATGTGATATTGGTATTAACATGAGATCTTGGAAAGGAAACTTTATTACTTTAATCACTATTAAACTAACAGTGGTTGTTGTGTGTCAAGTTCACAGTGAGTCAATTGCGCTGTTTAGCTTCTCCTGGCAACTTGGTACGAGCTAAGGTCATTAAGAAGAAGAGGAAGCCTTATTTGAGAAAGTGTCTCCATAGACTGGCTTGTAGGTGAGTCTATAAGACATAGTCTTGATTCGTGATTGATCGAGATGGGTGTGGGAGGGCCCAGATCACTGTGGGTGGTGTTATCCCTTGGCAGACGGTCCTGAGAGACACTTGAAAGATAACAGAAAGTGAGTCTGAAGAGCGAGTGTGTCAGCAGTGGTCCTCTGTGGTTGTGCTTCAGCTCCTGCCTGTAGGTTCCTACCCTGACTCCAGCCTTGGCTCCTCTCTGTAACGGACTGTAACCTGTGAGATGTAATAAGCCCACCCCTCCCACCCCTCCCACCCCTCTCAACCTTCCCCCTCCCGCCCCTCCCCCCTCCCACCCCTCCCCCCTCCCCCCCCCCCCCCCCCCCCCCCCCCCCCCCCTCCCAAACTGCTTTTGGTTGTGGCGTCTATCACTGCAATAGAAAGCAAAGTAGAACGCCAATAAGTCTTTCTCCCTGTCTTTCTCTGCTGTGGTTGCCTTTTTTCAGACATGGCTAAAATTGCTTGCACTGTGGCTCAACCAAGTTCAGGTATGCTCTAGGTAGAACACACACACAGAGTTTGAAAATAAAAACCAAAAAATGCAGAATATTAATAATTGTCATGACCGGAGGCTGTGCTGGAATTACACATGCTTGAATATCCTGTGTCTGAAATGCCTGGGACCAGATGTGTCCTGGAGTTCAGATGATTCCTTTCAGGTTCTGGAATCGTTTCATATATATTGACATGCCTCAACATACCAAGCAATAATCATAGAATTCACTTGTTTCTAAGGTACGTTCGGATCATTTTTATCTCACCGAGAGAAAATGACTTTACACAATATTTTCAGCCTGCTTGTATTTTGACAGTAACCTGTCATATGAAATCAGCATAGAATGGTTCCCTTGTGACATTACGGAGTTCAAGACCTCCAAATGTTATGGTGTTTCTTAGTTTGAATTTTCATATTAGGGATGTTCAACCTGTAAATTTAGTCATATTGGTGCAAACAAACTACAAAACATTAATCTCGCTATAAGAAAGTTAGAAATTCTCTCTCTCTCTCTCTCTCTCGTGTGTGTGTGTGTGTGTGTGTGTGTGTGTGTGTGTGTGTGTGCATTGCTCATGTTTACATGCTGCGGCCCCTGCAGTGGTTCATGGCTGCCCGTTCCTGTCATGGTGGCACCCTCACTTCCAGATGGTGAGGCAGCCTGTGTAATGGACATCTTCTCTTCGGGTGTCAGTGCGTAGAGGAGCACTGCCTCTTTTTCTGATGACCAGTTTTCTTTAAGTCTGAAGATCCAGGGAGCACGGGAGAAAAGAAGAAAACGCTAGTCTGGTTGCCAGGCCCCACATGTTTTATAAACAGTGTCTTCCCAAACAAAGATAAGGGGAGCACAGCTTAATTGTGGTCTTAAACCAGCTTAAACATGTCAACTCTTCTAATATTTATTTAAGGCAAAAAATTCAAAAATGCTGATTTTTTAAAACACCTTTAATGTTTTCTAAAAACTGCTCCAGAGCTGCTCAGAGACTGCATATGCCAAGAGTCTGTGAAAAGGACCTTTTATTTCAATGTTACTTGGTGCCGACTGTTTGGTTTTAATAAAGGGTCCAAAAAAACCATCCACGAAATGTCAAGAATGTGCTATTTTAGTCATAACTCTACCTGTGTTCTAGGGCCTAGCTAATAAGGATCTTCCCAACAGTGGATGAAAATAGCTGAGCCTTGACAGATTCAATCTAGTGACATCACAGATGATGACTTAACCAGAAGCTGTTTCTGGCTCTATCAGTAACTCATTGCAGGGGTGTTTTTTTTTTTTTTCAGCATTTATAATACCTATGTTTTATCTAGGATCCCACAGATATAAGAGGTTCTTCTCTCGCTCTCTGTGTCCTGCAGAGGCACATGTGCCATTTATTACCCAGTAGCCAGAAGACTCGGCAAGGACTGGACCCAGATTCCCCATGCAGACCCTCCGCCTGAATTTCTGGTGCTTATCTGATGTGAGAAGCCTTGACCCTGATGCAGCCACCTTAATTATATCTCCCTTTAAAGCCAGCTTAGTCATTCAAAATACATTTTGTAAAGGCTTCCAGTGAAAAGCATAAAAAGAAAAAAATCTTTTAACCATAATTTAGTAATTCTTCAGCCTTGATTTTTGGCTTTCCTTGCCGCCTAAGTGGCCATATATTTTATAAGCCCTGCTAATTTGCTGTTAAATTTGCTATTTATATGATCCTAGATGATTTGTTGGACTTCACTGAACAGAAAGGATTTTTATTAGCAGTCAGTGCTTTCAAAGAGGTGGATTTTTTCACACCATCAAGGCCACTTTCTCAACTTATTGACAGCTTTATGGGGCAAGCTGGATAAAGAACAGTTTCCTGCATCCAAAAGCGCTTTGCATTCCATGGGGCAAAACTTGGACCTTTAATTAGGATATAAGAGCCTTCCTTTCTCTCCCAACAGTCCCCGGGAGGCCCAGAGCAGCAACACTTGCAGGCAGATAGTTAATCGTGTTTCCAGACTTCAGCCTGCTAAAATTAGGCGGGACTGAAGGTCAACCGCTTACCTGGCGGTGGGCCAGCTCAGGACAGGATTTCTCTTTTTCCTGTACATCTGCATCTTGTATACATACATACACCATTTTGCCCCATCCCATTGATGGTGTTTCGCCGACTGCAAAAAGCTGTCAGATGAATCCTGTTTCAAATCTAATTTGAACCCTCATTTGGTGTTTTTCACAAATGTACCTTGGGCATCTCCCATCTGACATCCCTTTCTGTGTGGAACACTCGGCAAATTCTCCTCATTCCATTGCTCTCCTCCTGACCTCACCACCCAGCGTGTTTACGGGACTTTTAAGACTTGACATTTTTTTGTTACTTTTTTTTTAATTGTTTTAATCCTACCCAGTAAATTTCTTATGTTTTTAACACTTTGTTAAGGCTTTGATTGTGCAAACAATGCTCCATCAAATGGTGAGCAAGCCTTTGGGAGCACAGAGTGATGGCCTGGTAGATATAATTAGTTGTGACCTGTGGGCCTCAGGGAATAAGCCGCCCTGGGCTTCACTTTGTTTTTGTAGAAAGTCTCTGTCAGTGTCACATTAAGCAGGCTCCTGCCTAGGGTGTGGGGAGGGCTGATCTGAAGTGTGGGCATGAGCGACATTCAGCTCATGTTAAGTTACAGGGTCCTGAATGTCCACACAAAGATGCTCTTGCAAAAGTTCTTGAACTTACCAGTAATTTTTTTTTTCCTTATTGGGCAAAGAAACTTGGAGAAAAATTATTGACTAGTTATTGACTCAAAAATGAACAAATACAGAAGAAAAAGTGAGAGGACCAAATTTGGAATTTTGGGCATGAAAATTTTATGTTATAAAATCGAGTAGCTGAGCAAAGCTGCCTTCGATGTCCGCCAAATCTACTGCGTTTGGAACTCAAGAAGGAGGCTCTTCAACATGAAGCTCGGGTTCAAGGTCTGCCTGCATCGGAGCACCTGGCAAATGTTTTACCTCTGTCTTAATCTCCTTTTGTCTTGTTCTCACTCTCTGGTAATCTCTGTCTCAAAGAACACACTTCCCAGGCCTCACATTCCTACACCCATATTTGCAAACCTCCAGACAGTTTTCAAGAAGCAACAAAACCCCAAGCTAATCTGAGCGGGCTGTTGGCCCATCCAGTTGCTTAGAATGTGCTAACCACATGATTGAGGGAACCGACAACCAGGACCAGTCCTGAGCTCATTGTGTCCTGAGCTCATTTGCTGAGTCAGTCTCTCCCACACAGCTTCCCAACAAGCTGAAGCTGTTTTCCTCTCTTCTCTCTTGTAACAGAATAAAATGACAGCTGAGTTCTAATCAGTCTTTCTTATGAACAGCCTCTGAGCCCGCTCTCACAGTTGCCCTTAAAAACAAACAGGATAGTGAAAGGGAGTTTTAATGTCTTCCCTTTCAATCCTGCGGTGTCCACCAGTATAGTCCCTTTCTCTTCTGAGTCTAGTCAACAACTCTTTTTGTTCTGTTTTTAGTAGTTGGCTTCTTGTGTGTCCTTCTCTGCTTCAAGTTCCCTTTCTTACAAGTTAGTTACCTTGACTCTTGACCTAAAGGGCTCCCTTGTTAACTCTACCTGTTATTATAGCTGTGTTGACTTAAGCCTGACACCTCATCTGTGCCCTGCATTCTTTACTGGTCCGATGAACCGAGTGACACCAATGGACACCAACC